AGAAGAGAGAAAGCATAAGCCCTGTGGATCTCTACTAAAAATGTACCTTATTTATGCTCTAATAACTTTGGGAAATTATCTCAAGAGTTTTGGGGCTGGGGTTTAGCTCAGCGGCAAAGCGCCTGCCTGGCAAGCGCAAGGTCGTGAGTTCGGTTCCTGGTACTGGAGAAAAACCAAAAACAAAAAAAAAAGAGTTTTATTTCTTCATCTGAGGAAATACCAGCGCTTTCTCCGTGAGCAGTGATTCAGAGGCGACTTTCTGTCCTCCTGCAGTCCAACCTCCCTCCCTCCCTCCCAGGCCTGCTGGTTTATTCAGATGTTGGCTGCTGGAATACTTGGGAAATAGAAGGTCAGTTGGAATCTGTTAATAACGCTCAGTACACATGAGCACATCAAAAGGCATCATTGCATATGTACGATCTAGGTTTAAAAATGACCATGTTATTAACACGCTCCTCAGAGGGGCGGGAGACTCCCGAGAAGCCTAGCAGTTGTTCAGAAATGAGTACGATGTCACAGGAGCGTGTGCCGGGAGAAAGAACACTTGATATTTTACTATTAGTTGCCATTATGTTCTTGTATCAAGTTCTTTGCGCGGGCCAGTCTAACTTCAGATGAGCTACCTTGACAATGCTGTGTCCCTGTACTGGGGATTGAACCCGGGGCCTTCACACTGCACTGCATCCCAGTCTTTTTTGTATTTTTTATTTTGAGACAGAGTCTTGCTAAGTTGCACGGGCTAGGCTCAAACTTGAGATCCTCCTGCCTCAGCCTCCCAGAGTGCTTGGGTTACAGGCATGCGCCACCATGCCTGGCACCACCGGCAGTGATTTCCTCCTCTCCCCTGGCCTGGATTCAGGGTGGTTTTCTCCGTCCTGCAAGCACCTGACCCCTCTGCTCTGCCGTAGGGCGCCCTGTCTCTCAGCCCAGAGCAGCAGCTGTCCGTGAGCACCGGGCAGATGGAGTTCCGCATCCTTCTTCAGCATGGTCCTCGCAGCTCCGTGCAAAGCCTGGGCCCCGTCCTCGTGCACCTGCCTGGGGACCTGGCCAGGCTCGTTCCTGCCGGAGAGGAGACGCAGAGCCTGTGCTACATCAGCCAGCTCACACTCTTCAGGAAGAGCCCTTACCCCTGGGGCCAGGCCGCCGGCCAGGTATGGCGGGCGCCTCCCTGCCCCGTCCAACCCCACTTCCAGGCTGCGGTCCCCGGGCTTCAGTGGTCAGAAGAGCGGCCGGGTCACCCCGTGTGCCAGCGAGGGGCCTGGAACGCTCCTCCACCTGCACCCCTCTTCGAGACCAGTGTTTCTAGTCAAGCTAAGCAGGACCACGTCCTGGTTCCTGAGTAACTGGACCGTTTCCTGTGGGAAGCCCTAGACCTTGGTTTTCGGAGTCAGCAGCTGCCGCCTTTCCTCCACGCCTTCGTCTGTCTAGGTGGAGGACGTCGTGGACCTGGCCCTCTTCAGCTGCCCCCGCAGAAGCCCCGTGGGCAGGCGACGGCTGGAGACGCCCATGACCGTGGAGTTCGGGGGCGAGCACAGCAGGGTGAGGACAGCCCCCCGCCACCTCTGCTTTGTGAGGGCTGCAGGGGCTGCTCTTCCCTGCATTTATCTTTCCAAAGACAACTTTGGCCTAGCTTGTTTCCTCTTCAGCGACAGGGTAATCAGACAGGTGAAGGCCCGTTCTCGCTGCTTCGGGGTCGGGTGAATGTGCACCGATTCTCCGGGCTGTCTCCGCACCCCCGAGAGTCGCTCCAGATACACATCGAGTTTGCTGAGCCAGAGACCAGAGCGTTCCCCGTGCTGCTGCTCCTCAGGTGCACTGGGGGCGCGACTGACACAGGGAGGGGGACCGCACGGGGAGAGGCACGGCACGGGGAGGGGGGACCAGGCGGGGAAGGGGCCACACGGGAAGTGGGGGCTGCAGAGAACCGTCCCGTCCCCGCGCTCACTGTGCTCCCCCAGGGAGCCCAAGCCCGTTCCTCCCTGCAACTCAGACGCCGTTAAAACCTTCAGCCACCTGGCCCTTCTGCAGGTCTCTAGTTTTGTGAGACTTCACGTGTGGCCGTGGAATTAAAATGGTTTTTCTCTTGTGAAAAGATGTTTTATGAACAAACTAGTGAGTTAAAGTGTGTTTTTAAAGCAAGAAGCAGCTTATTGTCAAAAGGAACTGTGCTACAGATTTTGTTACTTAGGTAGCAAAGCAGCCTTTACTTTCTTTGTGAGCCTGAATAGTAAGCATGAGAGTCGTTGGAAGTAACATGTGTGATCTCAGGCAGAGTAGCTCCGGCCAGAAATCTGTCCTTAGTCCCTCGTGTGTTCGAGTTTATCTGTGTCTGGGGACTCGGTAAGCCGTGGGCGATCGCTCTTTCTCGGGGCTGGGGGGTCCGTGTGGTCGCACGGGCCCTGCGTACGGCTGCGGGAAGGACCCTGGGCTCCACTGTGGAGTCGCGCATCGACGGCAGCAGAAGCCGCAGTGTGACCTTTGTGGCACACACAGGTGGCCACGTCCTCCTGGGATGGCCAGGCCTGGGTCACCTCTAGGCCCGGGTGTTGGGAACACTGGCAGGAAAGTCTGCTGTCCCCCTGTGCCTGCTGGTCTAGAAGAGCACCCCAGCTGGTTCAAAGGGAACCACTGAACCGGGCCCTGTGTCATGCACGTGCCACCCGGAAGCCTGGGCAGGCTGAAAGTGGAGCCGTGCGCAGGGTTGACCCGTGTGCCCAGGCCTTTGCGCTCAGCTACATCCGGGCCCTTTTAAAAATTTTTATGTTGAGACAGGATCTCGCTGAGTTGCCCAGGCAGGACGTGACCTTGCAGTTGTCCTGCCTTAGCCTCCCGAGCGTGGGGGTGACAGGCAGGTGGCACCACACCGGCTTGGACCTTTCCAGCCCAGACTTCCTCCTCGCAGTGAGAAGATGCACATTGTGCGACCCACGTACTTGAGGCGGGGCAAAGGGGGGACACCCGCGCTGCTCCCTTTTGTCTCCCAGCTTCTCCAGGAGGCCCAGCCCCGCAGACTTCCTGGTGCGGCAGACCCACTTCTGGGACACACGGAGCATGCAAGTTTACACCCCAGCCGCCGCAGGGCCAGGTCAGTGGCCGGGGCACCTTCCTGTGCAGGTTTGCTTTCTTGGTGCCCCAGACGACCGCGTCGTTTCTCTGCCCGCGTGTGGACAAGCTGCTTGTGAGAGGCCCCGGCCAGCTGCCAAGTGCAGCCCTTGTCACCTCGGGTGCAAGGACCCCCGCCCAGCTCGAGGCGCTGCCCAGCGGCCCCCGCCCAGGCCTGCGCCCTTCTTCCTCGGCATCTGTCTCTGCATGGAGCCACTTTTTGCAACCTCACACTGCCCTTTCTCTGGATTTTTTCCCACTTAGGTGCCAGCGTGGGCTATTTATCCTTGTTAGATGCCAACTACGACAGAAGCCCCCCAGGCGAGCGCTTCGCAGAGGCGGTGAACTACACCGTCCGTTTCCAGCGGATCCGGTGCCTGTTTTGGGATCGGGGAGAGTGGAAGTTGGGCAGTTTCCCTCCTCGAGCGGGAACTTCTCCAGACAGAGTGAACTGCAGGTACGGAGCTGCTGGGGAGAAAGGGTCGGAGAGGTTTGGCGAGGCACTGAAACCCCGCCTGCACTTACCGGGGCCAGCGCCGTCCCTGGGGCTCGTCCTCCCTCCCGGACAAGCCCCACAGCCTGGGCTGGCGCACCCCCAGCAGGGGCCTTCCCCACCACTTCCCATGTGGCAGCTCCAAGCGGCTCCTGAGGGGAAGGCGCTGGTCCTGCCGGGTGTACAGGGTCCTTCCCGATGGCCTCGTGCCCGCCTCTGCTTGTGGGGACCAGCAGGTGCTCGGGAGGTCCATGGAGAGACAAGCCAGCGAGTGGGTGCAGGACAGATGTGCCAGCTGATTTTATTACCCTGGCAGCGCTGGCAGCCGACGTCCTTCTGGAGGCGGGGTCAGGGGTCATGGCCACCCCAGCTCCTCTTCGAGGGGGAGCCCCCACCCCACCCCACCTGAGGTACAGGCTTGAAGATGAGCTCCTGGGACTAAGTCGCCTTCACTCGGACCTGAGCCACCACCAGGCATCTCTGGGTGCCTGAGTCGTGGTACTAAGTTGGAAATTCTTTACTGTCTAGGAGCAGAATTAACAGTTCTGCGAGACAGGTTCCGTGCATGGCTTTTGTTGTTCTCACTCTCTCGATAAGCCGGAGATTAACAATAATTAGGGATTTGAGACATAAAAATTGTCCTTTGCTTCTTAAGAACAATTAAACGGCAGGGAGCCACACGCTGGGCTTCCTGTTAGGAGGCGAATATGTGCAGACGGCCCCCCTGGCGACATCCGTCGCTGCTTCGTGCTTTTCTGTGTCACCCTTTACAGCTGCGTGGTGCCAGGCACACGGGTCGGTCGCGGCCCAATAGTCCAGTCAGGTTATGCACAGGTGCAGTCGTTCCCCCTCCATTACTGACTGCTCCAAGAGGCAGGGTAGGAAATAAACACGGAGTCACACACAGGACAGAGGGCAGATGGCTTTATTTCTCTCAGGGCAGTGTTGACGGTGCTGGTCGCGGTTACCAGTGGTACGACTTTGACACCAGGGATAGGACACAGGCCAAGGCACGTAGCGTGCTCCCCGAGAGGCTGCCCTGAGAGTGTCCGGTGGGAGCCATCCCCGTGCAGAGGGGCCCAGGACCCGGCACCCGCTCCCATCTGGCCCTCGGGACAGAGCTGTGCCCTGGTCCTCAGATGTCAGAAGAGCCACCTGCCAAGCCACCACGAAGCCAGTCTTAGATGAACCCTGTAAGCAGGGCCACGTGTGGGGCCCTGGGGTTGGAATTTGCCTCCCTTTCTGACAGTCCCATCCATGCCTCCCCCCAGCTATGACCGCCTCGCACCCTTCGCCATCCTTAGGAGGACGCTGAATGCTAGCTTCGAAGCCAGCGACGTTTCCCAGCTACACGGGTGAGTTCCGGCTTCCGAGCTGAGACTTCTTTATCGGGACAGCCGCCCACTTGGAAGGAAGTCCACAGTCAAGGAGATGCTTGCAATCGCGGCCCCTGTGTTGATTTCTTTAATTTTTATTTGTATTAGTACATGGTAGTACAAGTAGTGTAGTACGAGTGATTACACTCATTGTAAGGAGTATGCAGCACATCTTCCCTCTTTTTCCGCCCCTTCCCTCCTCTGCCTGCCCCACCTCCAGCTCTTCGTCCCCTCCCGATTTGCAAAAGATCTAGCTCCCTATTTTTCATTGTCTATCTTTTGCTCTGCTCTTTTGTTTATTTACCCTTGGGGTTCCTCACGTAAGAGAAACCAGGTAATATTTAAGCTTGAGTATCTGAGTTACTTCACTTAACATCATGGCCTCAAGGTGCATCCACTTCCCTACCATGACCCCAGTGTGCCCTTCTTGATGGCTGAGTAGTATTCCATGGTGTGTACATACCACATTTTCTTTAGCCATGGAGTATGAATATAAGAAGATCATGGTCTGTAAGTATATTCAACTATGTCTGTGTTTTCATTCACCAACATGAGGTTTATAAGCAGAAGACAAGCAACATACTTTTCTTTCTTTTAAATATAGCTTAGTCCAGTGTGAATTTGGTCAGCTGTTATTGACTGGGTCCGTACATGGCGACCCCGCCCAGTTTGCCTGTCCTGGTTCGTCCTCAGGGTCCCAGCACACTTAGTGCCACCTCCCCCTTTGTCCTTCAGAAGTGTCCGCTTTAGTTCACACGCTTCACACACACCCTATTCTTGCAGCTGCTGTGCTCCAGGGCACCGCTGCACTGAGGCCCTGAGAGTGCGAGAGTCGAGGGCTGTCCCTGTCCGTCCTCCTGTCCCCCATGTTTGACCCAGCCTGGCCCCTGCAGGGCTTAGGAGGCACATGCTGCATCACTCACAAGGTCTGTGTTTTCCGGGGATTGAGCGTTCTGCCCAAGCACGGTAGTGTCCTGCTTGGTGTAAAAGACCAACCCCGTAGACACTGCCCCAGGGAAGCTCTGAGTCCCCAGGTGTCAGGGATGGAGGGTTAGGGTTAGTGCAGCCTCCGCACTGTCGTCCCTGAGGGGGCAGACGATGGGGCAGGGGACCTGGCATGTGGGCGGAAGTCATGCAGAGGCGGAGCTCGGGGACGTCCGCCAGGCCCTAGTGGGTCCCGGCTCAGGGCACCTGGAGCCCAGGGCGTGAGTGGATGGGGCGCCTAGACAGGCTCGTTGCCTGACTGGAAGGGCGGGGACGGGAGGACAGGCAGCCAGGACAGAGCCAGCGCCCAGGCAGGGTCAGAGGCGAGTGAGGTGGGGACACAAGGGGCAGCGTGGGCCCCGGGCCCCCGGGAAATCTTGGTGGCGATCTGCAAGGCCGCAGCCCAGGCAGCACACCGTACTGGGTTAAGGTCTCCGTGCAGGGACTCCAGGTGGACGCCGTTGCCTGGGTCCTCGCAGTGCCGTGGTCTCCTCCCGGGCTGGGGTAGGTGCCTGGGACCACGGGAGCTTAACCCGCAGGCGCCAGCACAGGAGGCAGCCCAGGGGCAGGGGATGGGAGGAGGCCACCGGAAACTCTGCCTGGCTCTGCCGGGGCGGGCGTCCCTGCACCCACGGTCTGAAGCATCGCGCACGTGCACGTCACTCGTTTATCAGTGCAGCAGGACCAGGAGCTTCACGGAGGCGGCTTCACAACCACCCGCGGTTCTGGGGTTTGGGCCACAGCCACTGAGCGGGGGCAGCTCTGTGTCTCCAGAGCCCCTGCTGCAGTCTCAGCCCACAGCGCACGTCTGGGAACATTTCCCCACACTGGGCACCGTGGTGCATTCTGGGAGGCTGAGGCAGGGGGATTGCAAGTTGGAGCGCGGCCCAGGCAACTCAGGGGCTCAGGGTGACCCTGTGTCAACATAGAAATTAAAAAGGGCTGAGGATGTCGCTCAGTGTGAAGGCCCTTTATTCAATTTCTAGTACCACAAAAATGGGGCGAGGGGAAGGAGGGATGAAGGAAGGAAGGAAGGAAGGAAGGAAGGAAGGAAGGAAGGAAGGAGGGAAAGGAAAGAGAATCCCCCAAAGACAGGAGGGATCGGCGGCTTTCCGAGGTGTCCGTGCGCGAGCAGTGCCCTTTGTCCCGCTGCCCTTCCTTACAGCCACCCCCGAAACCTGCTCCCCAGCCTGTGCGTGGTGGTCTTTGCGATTCTCGGAGCACTTGCGGTTATGCACAGCAGACTCGTAGAGCGTCACGCGGAGAAGAGGGCCGGCTGCATCTTCCCGCAGGGAGCCACGCCGCCTGGGCACCAGCCGTACGCGGTCGTCGTGGACACCAGCTTCTGGTCGCCGGCGAGGTTCACCTCCAGGGTAAGCGGGGCTCCTGGGGACGCCTTCCTGGGGACGCGGTGGCCGAGAGATACCGAAAGCATCCCTGTGATGACTCAGCTGTCCTGTGGATCACATGGCACCTGTCACCAGCTGGGCCATCGCACTCCTGGGCGGAGCCCAGGCCACCCTCTGCTGCACACCTGGGAGGGCAGAGGTGGGACCCCCCACCTGTCCCCAGCTCTGTCCCCTCCTCCCGCTGCTCATGGGACACAGCCGCGGGGCTGTGTTGTGAGGTGACAGGGCCGAGACTGAGCAGAGCACCCAGGGCTCTTCCTGCCTGGGGCGGCTCTGTTGCCTGAGGGCCGGGGTGGCTGCGGGGAGCGTGGATAGGTAGGTGGGGACCTGCGAAGGGTGGCTGCCGGGGCCCTCGGGGTAGCTGGGTACACATGCCAGTTCCACAGTTCCACAGCTCCCGTGGTTCCCAAGTGTGTGAGCCCGTCCTTGATGCCCTGCGCCCGTGGGTCACTGTCTTGGAAAACTCCTCGAAGACAGGAGGGCAAAACAGAACTAGAACATCAAGCAGGGCAGAGAGCCGGTTCTGGGTAGAGGTTGTGCCCGTCTGCGCATAGCAGTGCAAAAGCAACTCAGGGTAGAGGTAGAGCCGCGGAGAACACCTGAGGAACTTGCTAGTTCATGATCCGGAAAGATCCCCACAGTTGCCTCCATAAAGCAGCAGCGCTCTCTCTAACACGTAACTAGAAACAAGATCGTCCCCTCACAGGCGCAGGAGAGCGGGGCCTAGAAGTCGCTTCATCAAACACGCACGGGACCTCCGTGGCAGCCGGCTGTGGGGCTGCACACCTAACGTTCCAGCACTGGGGGAGGCTGAGGCAGGAGGACTGAAAGTTCATGTCCAGCCTGGGAAACTTAGCAAGACTCTGCCTCAAAATTTTTTTTTTTTTTTTGTTTTTTTTTATTGTTTGTTTTTCTCCGGTACCGGGAACCGAACTCACGACCTTGCGCTTGCCAGGCAGGCGCTTTGCCGCTGAGCTAAATCCCCAGCCCCTCAAAATTTTTTTTAAAAAAATATTTTTAAGGGTTGGAGAGGGAGCTGATTGGACAGGTATTGGGTTCCATCCCAAAAGGCCCTCATGATAGCTAAGATAATTGTACTACTAATTTCTATTGGTTTATTGAAAGGAACAGTTAATGCTTAATTGTTTGATCAATCTTGCATACCTATATCTAGTAATCTGAGCAACTACTTTAAAGATAACAATATGTAATACAACTATTGTTGATTTCCTATCCGTTGTTTTGAAATTCTGTATCGTTTCTATTCTTTTTTGTTGTTTTGTTTTTGACTTTGTTTTGTTTTTTGGGTTTTGGGGGGGTTTTTTCTCTTTAAAATGAAATTTTTAAAAAAAGACCCTCATGGATAAATGTTGCTCAGATGTCGTACATTTATATATTCCAGTCTGTATTTCTGCATGGCCTTTCAGATTAATCTATAACATTTACCATAATCATGTGGATTAAGTTTTATTAATGTGCCCGTTTTATAGAGGAAAGCCAGCACGTGGAGAGGTTAGCATTCCTGCTCTGATCCAGGCATGTGGCGAAGTCGCCATAGCTGAGAGAGTGTAGCTCTGTCCCGAGCCAGGCCAGCAGATTTGGGGGACAGATTAGAGACCCCAGAAGCTAGCCAGACGTGCATCAGGGCCTTGCAAACCACAGAGGAAGAAAAGACCATTCAGTGAGATGTGCCGGGCAATATCTTGTGGAAGTGTCCTGTTCAGTCCTTGCTTCACATTAGACACAAGAGACAAACCCAGTGAGCGAAGGACAGCAAGGTGGGAAAACAAAACATAGAGATCACTCAGAGTAAATGTGGGTGACATCTTGGGATGTGACAGGATTTCAAAAACAAGAAGAAGGTTTCTTCAGGGAAGCGTGAGACTCCATCAGAATTGTAGTTTCTGTGTGACGAGACACCAAACTCTGCCCCGGCTGCACCCCGGGCATGGTGCCCCCTCCAGGGTCCAGCAGCCTCCCCTGGGCGCAGGGCCGGCCGAGCTGCCCCCACTGCATGTTCTGCCCTCCTGGTGCAGGCAGATGTCCCAGGGACCCCAGGGGCACCTCAGTTCCTAGGTCAGATGTGTGAGGAACCAGCCAGCCCAACTGGGCCCCACTTCCGGCCTCCTGGGGTCCCCGGGAAAGGCCGTGTGGGAGCTCCTGTCCCCTCAGCTGCACAGGTGGTGGCCCATGTGGTTTGTGAATGGAGAGGAAGTGGGAGTCCCTGCCCAGAGTACAGGTGTCCCGTGTGAGGTGACCTCCCTGACCTCTCACCCTGACCTCTCACCCCATGACCTTTCACCCCTCTGTCTGTGTTTTGAGGTTTTCATTGTTTTATGTGGCGAAAATGGACTTTCAGAAACCAAAGAACTCTGCTGTCCAGAGAGAACTCTGTTTGAAAGGAATTCCAGACACACCTTTATCCTGAGGTATTCCGGAATATTCCAACCGCGTGACTCGGGAAAGAGGCCAGTCAGAACTGGGGTGACTCATCACAAACCCTAAAGCAGTGATGGAGAACGTTGGTCTGCCACAAGACCATGAAATTATAGACAATCTAATGACGTACTTTAACAGTTTATTGTTTGGGGTGAGTTAAACAGTATTGTCCTCCAGGGCTGTGTCCCGGGACCCCACGGGTGTCAGGAGCACAGCTGGCACTGAACGCTACCTTCAATGTGTGTCCCATGTGTACATGGCCGGGACAAGGCCTCACCTATTGGTTAGGCCCCATACGAGATCAGCAACAACTAACAGCACCACAGCACAGCCGCGGCAGTGTCCTGCCCTGGAAATGCTTCAGCTGTCATTTCCCAAAGTTTCCATTTAATATTTGGGGACCACGCGGTGCCCGGTGGGACGCACTGTGCCTGCCACGCGGCTGCAGGTCCCGCCTGCGCCCTCAGGCACCACAAGGGCCCGAGGTCAGGGGGGGTTGGCGAGGTTGTCGCTCACTCCAGGCTGTCCCCACCTGGCTAATGAGATGCCGTTGGTGTCCCCAGCACCCCTGCCTGGCTGGGCCCGCTCCAGCACGTCCGCCTGTGGCATGACAGCAGCGGACCGGCCCCGAGCTGGCGGCTCAGCCGCGTGGCGGTGAAGGACCTGCGCTCGGGCCAGGCCTGGCTCTTCCCCGCGCGGTGCTGGCTGGCAGCAGGCCGGGGCGACGGCCGCGTGGAGCGGGAACTGCCCTGCCTGCACCACGGCCTCGGCTTCCGGAAGGTAGGTGCCTGGTGCCACTGTATCCGTGACTGCAGAGCCTGGTCAAAGTGGGCTGTGCTTCCGGGTGGACGCTGAGGGCAGAGGAATTGAAATCTCTCAGGCACACAAAGGAGAGGGACGGGCGCCCGGAAGAGGAGTCTGGGACAGGTGCCATGTTGCACATCCATGACCCCTCCGGGAGGCTGAGGCAGGAGTTTGTGTCCACCCCGGGGAACTTAGTGACTTAGACTTAGCAAGACCTGAGGCCTGTCCCGTCCCCTCCGCCGGCGGGCAGCACAGTGAAGAGCTGGGGCCTCTCCCTGGATCCCAGCAGGATTTAACCCAGCCAGGCTTCCCAAAAAGCTGGCCCTAGACAAACATTCGTTCAGGCCGTGAGAAGTTTTCCAGGAAGAAAATGAGCGATTTTCTTCCGCTAAGTCTAAGTCACTGAGTTGCTAAGTTTCAGAATAAGAAGTGACAAGGCCTGGGATGTAGCTCCGTGCGAAAGCTCTGGGTTCGATCCCCAGTGCGGGCTGCGGCGGTCAGGCCAGGCAGGCAGGAGGGCGGGAGTGGATCACAGCAAGGAGCCAAGGGCGCGGGAGGGCAGGAGCCAGCGCAGGGCGTTGCGCGGCGTCCACCTGCTCCCGCTGGCCGTGTGTCACCCGGCCGACCAGCCGGGACCGAGAAGCCCAGAGCTGAGGGCATCTCGGCCCAGGACCCGTCGCCCCGCCCGAGTGCCCGACCTCCCGGACCTGCGCTCTGCCCATTTCCGCCCCAGCTCTTCTACGCCAAGTTCGCGGAGTCCCTGGAGAGCGGCCACACCTGGCTGTCGCTGTGCACCCCGCCCGGCTCCCACGGCCCCCCGCGCACACAGCGCCTGGCCCTGTGCCTCTGCCTGCTGTGCGTCCATGCGTGCCTCACCGCCCTGGCCACCGCCAGAGGACGCGGCCAGGTGGGCTTCTCCCCGCGCGTGGTGCCTTCCCGACCCCAGGGGCACCACAAGCAGAGGCCGAGGACCGCGGGGGGGAGGGCACCCCACTGCCAGGCCCCAGGGCCACGCAGCATCACTTTGGGGGTAAAGGGAGCAGACTGGCTTCTTAGGGTCACGGGTCCCCTGTGCGGCTGGAGAACGTGGTGACGGGTCTGTCGCAGAGGGAGGAGTCAGCGATCCGATCCATCCAAGCACAGCAGGGCAAGGTGGCTCTGTACAGGCCGCCCAGTTTCAGAAGCGGGGGTCAGGGGCATTGTAGGTTTGCTTTTTTGAATTTGTTTTTTGCAGTGCTAGGGATTGAGCCTACAGTCTTCACACTGAACCCTCTTTTTATTTTGTATTTTGAGACAAGCTCTCAACGAGTTGCTGGACTTGAACTTGGAATCCTCCTGCCTCAGCTTCCCAGAGTACTGGGATTACAGGTGTGCATCACTGCACCCCACTCAGAATTTTCTTTCTTTTTTTCTTTTTCTTTTTTTTCTAAGAAGACTGTGTTGGTAGAATTCATAAAAAGATGCTAAAGAAATGTCACCACTAGCAGAAAGGGAACTGCCCTCTGGGGGCGGGGTCTTGGAACCCGTAGCCAAGACAGCCTCAGTGCTAACTGGGCATGGCGAGCAACCTGGGGCCGTGTGCCCACCTCCGCTGGCGGGCAGCACAGGATAGGCCTGGGGCCCCCTCCTGGGATCGCAGCAGGAATTAACCCAGCCGCGCTTCCCAAAAAGCTGGCCCCAGACACGCATTCGTTCAGGCCATGAGAATTTGTCCGGGAGGAAAATGAGCAGTTTTCCTCTGCTTCTGTAAGTGGGAGGAGGGAGGGGCTTTGAGGCCACCTGCGGTGCGTAGGTGACATGAGGCGGAACCAGGACGGCAGGCGCTGCGGGTGACGCCCGTCTCTGTGGTTGGTTGCAGCTCCCGCTGGACGTGGGCCCCACGGACCTCACCCTTGGAGCCCTCGGCCTGGGGCTCCTGTGCGCCCTGGCGGCCTCCCTGGCGGCTCAGCTCCTGTCGCTGCTCCTCAGACACAGCAAGGTACTGGGCCCGATGCGTGGCCCTGCGCCGCGGCAGCGCCTCCACCCCGGACATCGCCTCTCTAACCAGCGTCCCGCCTCTGCAGGAAGCTGAGAGGCGCCCGGCGGAGCCACTGGGTCCTGGGAGAAAGACACGGATGGAGGCACCTGGGGGTAATGCGCTTGGGGTGGAAACTCCAGGCCTGCTGGGTGTCTCCCCGGTCCTCGGAGGACTCTTCCTCGGGCTTCCTCCCGCGCTTTCTGTCTGGTGGTGCGTGTGTGCAGGGCACGGGTCGTGTCCACCCTGGGAGCCGGTCCTGTATGCACACAGCACATGCGCACGCTCCTCATGCCCCTGTGCACGTGGAAAACCATCTTGTTTTCCGGGTGCTCCCGTTTCCTCTGCCTCCGTCTGCCCGGCCCTGTGAAACCCTCCTCCTGGGTGCTGGGTAAGTGCTGGCCCCCAGGAAGTGAACGGATGGCCGGGGGATGCTTTTCCCCAGCTGCCGTAGCTGTTTGAGTTTGGCGATTACTTTTTAAAAAGTTTTACGCAGTCTTTGTACTTTTTGAAGAAACGCTTTCTCACCCTGCTGTTTCCCGGGGCAGCCGCGTGCGGAGGAGGGTCTTCCACGCTTGCAGCTGGGTGGCCCTGTCAGCACATCCTGTCTGGCTCTTGAACGGGCTCCCTGCAGGGTCAGCAGGGTTTTCTGGTCACCCTAAGGAAGGCCTATTTGAGCAGCATACATTATTATCTTTGTTTCTTTCTTTCTTTTCCTCTTCTTTTTTTTTTTTTTTTTTGAGACTGTCTCACTTTGTAACCCAGACTGGCATCAAACTCGAGATGATCCTCCTGCCTCAGCCTCCCCTGGAGTGCTGGGATCACAGGCATCCATCACCACACACAACCTCTTTCTTCTTTCTTGTTTTTTAATCAGGCCCTAATTCCCGTGGAAGGATGCCAGCCGTACAGGTGCCCTCCAAGGTAACTGGTATCTCAGTGCAGCAGCTAATCTCCAGCATAAAATGCTGGCGGTTTGATCCCTGTCCTCTCCTGGGGCCAGGGTCCATCATGGGTGGGTTGTGTGAGGAAAGAACCATTTCCAAGGTGGGGAGGTCAGATCCTGGGTCTGACATGTGCCCTTCCTCCTAGCTCCCCACCCTGCCACTCCCGTCCCCCAGAAGGCCGCAGGGGCACCCTGTCCAGGGCGCAAAGGACCTAATCAGGCACTGACCTTGGCCTGACCTTGCTCCAGCAGCCCGCAGCAGCCACCGTCTCTGGAAGAGGCACAGCCTGCCCAGCCCTGGGGCTGGAGACCAGCAGTGTGGGGAGCGGGAGCCGCCACTGCCCTCTGGGTTCTCAAGGTGACGCTGCTGTGTGCGGGGCCAGCGCCTGGGGGTGGGGGAGGCGCTGGGCTAAATGTCACCAAGTGCTATGGGCTCCTCTGTAGCAACCTTCCTTCCTGGTTCTGCTCGGATCTTAGACTTCACATGGAGGGTCAGGTCTTCTTGAAAGTCAGTAACAGACTCTGTACTTTTCTTCAAGTATTTTGAAATTCGAATTTTTTTAGATCCAAATCAGAGTAACAGCCCCAAGCAGAACATGTTGGTACTCAGCTGTAATCCTAGCACTCAGGAGGCTGAGGCAGTAGGATCACCACAAGTTCAAGGCCAGCCTGAACTACATAGTGAGACTCTTGTCTCAAAAAAATAAAATAACAGTCCCACCTTCAAATTAGTGGAAGCTCAGACACAAGCCAGAAGAAGGTGGGGATTCCCAAGGCAGAGATAGGGGCCAGGTCCTGCTGGGCAGTCCAGGAGGCGACCATATCCCTGTCAGTCAGTCTGGGGGCGTGTGGGGTGCACAGCTTTAGGTCCTGGACATGGCTGCTCCTAGTCAAGCTCTGGCCCAGGCAGCAGGGCCACTGCCCTGTGGAGAGCCTTAGGCAGGTGTCCCTCGGGCCAGCTACTGTGCTGCAGGGGCCACACGGGAGCCAGGCTGGGGCGAGAGCTCCAGGGAAGAGCCCGTGCCGTGCACAAGGCCCAGGAGGCTGTGGGCACAGGGTGCTCGGGACCTGCTGGCCACAGCTCCATGCGCCCGCTGCCTGCTCAGCAAGCATCCGGGGTCTGCCCGGTGCAGCTCAGGGACGGCATCCTGCAGGCCTGAGGTCGGTGGTGACTCCGCTCGTGGGCTGACCTGGGCGGAGTTATGCGGCAGACAGGAAAAGAGAGGCCGTGGGGCGGTCACAGCAGTGTCCCTGCCAGCACAGGGCCCTCAGTGCAGTCAGAGCCAACCCCACGGAACCCATCGCCCTGGGTGTCAGCTAGGCGCCGAGGGAAGCGGGACCCTTTGGGCCTGAGCAGGAGGAGCTCCCTCTTAAATCAGTTGTCCCCTCAGGCTGCAACTGACTGGGCGAGGCCCACCCATGCCAGGAGGTGGGGCTGCCACTCCGCATGCTAATAGCATCCGAAACTCCCTCACGCGTGGCTCGGGATGACGGTGAAGCAGCCCTCCGGGCACCCAGGACGACATGAAGCCCACGGCCGGCCAAGGGTGGGACGACGTGCTCTCTTACCCACGTGTGTCTGTCCCACTGTCCCACAGGTCCCAGCGCCGGCTGTGAAGGGCTCGCAGTCCCAGGGTCCAGGGCTGGTCCACCACGGCCGAGCACAGCAGCCTGGACTGCTTGCGGCTTGGTGTCCCTGGCCTGCGGGCTGGGGACGGGCTTCTTGGGCTACGGGTGAGTGGTGGCGGTTGCTGGTCTCGGCCCGTGAGCAGAGCCCTGGAGCCCCTGATGTCGCTGGCCCTGTTTCCTCCTTCGCCCCACCGTCTCCTGGGCGACAGAATCCTCAGCCAACCCAAAGGGTCAGCTTCCACCACCAGCCCAGATGAGTCCCGGGTACCAGCCACGGCGCCCCAGGAGGCAAGGGCCCCCTCAAGCACACCCCTGTGACCCGGGGCTCCAGGGGTCCAACTGGCCCCAGCCCCGAGGAGCAGCAGCAGCCCCAGGGTCTCCCTCCTCCGGCCTCAGGTCCTGGGCTGTCTCCATGCCTCCATGGTCCATCTGTGAACGGGGCCACCCAGAGCACGGTCCACAGGGTTAGGGGAGCAGAGGAACCTGGAACTGTGCCCAGTCCTGCTGCTCCTGCTGCCCAAGTGCCCCGCACACAAAGTGCCCCCCAACACGGCTTCCGGTCCTGCACTCGTTGTTACCATGGTTACCATCAGGCTTCCCTCTCCGCCCAGGCTCTGCTCTGTCTGGTCCTCGGTTCCTCTCCAGCCTGCTTCCCGCCAGGGTCTCCCGGGCCCACGCTGAGGGGCAGGGTCGGCCCCCACAGCCTCTCCCGTCACCCCCGCAGGTTCCTCCCGGCCCAGTGTGCACGGTGGCTGCTGCTGCTGTCCCTGTCTGTGGTCTTCTGCGCGTTCGTCACCCAGCCGCTCCTGGTGAGAAGCGGGTGCTCAGTAGGGCCACGCCCACTCCTGCTGTTGTCTTGATTTTCTTTGCAGTTCGGTTTAAAATGTTGTGAGAAAAATCGGGGCCCAGGCCCTGTGCTAGTTTTCCTGTGTGCCTGGGTTAGATCCTCGCGAAAAAGCCCCAGAGCCGGGTGTGGAGGTGCACAGCCGTGATCTCAAGATCAAGCCCATCTCGGGCAGCTTAGGGACATAAGGAGACCCTGTCTCAAAATTGAAAGTGCCGAAAAGGGCTGGGGATGGAGCCCAGCGCCAAGGCCCTGGTTCAGTTGCCAGTGTGGGCAGAGGGGGTGTGAGGAGCGGAGCCCTCCACCCCGCTTCCAGTGGAGGGACCCCAGCCTCGGCCGGCATGAGCTGGATGGGTGAGGCCACGGGGTGAGCTGAGGGGACGCAGCCCTGGTGTCTGCGCAGGGCTGGGGCGGGAGGCTGAGGCAGGGGGACAGGCAGGCGGCCCAGGCGGGATCACACGGCCTGGGGTCTCCCCTCCCACAGATCTGCTGCTCTGCGCTGGGTTTCGCTTGGAGGAGCAGAGGCGACAGCCAGTGTTTTGCGGAGTCCTTACACGAAGCCACCGGGAGCCTTCCCGGCTCGGGGCGGGAAGAGTGTGCGGGGCCGCACATCCCAGCTCCTCCCGGCAGCCGCGAGGCCGGGCTTGCTGAGGTGAGCGGGGCACCGTGGTGGGGACAGGGGCACTGGGCTGCCCCGCTGCGAGTGTGGGCCGGGTGCCCGCGAGACCCAAGGCACACACCTCCCTGCCGAGCGCCTTGCACACTTGGGGTGAGAATTCAGGGCCCAGGATCGACTTCTGCACCTTCACCCCAGCCCAGGTGAAATCCGAGCCTCCAGACATTAAAAAAAAAAGGAAGAGCATGTTTGTAAAATTCTGATGCAAATGAGAAACAGCTCCTGGCTGTGACTCTGGAGAAATTCAGGCCATTTGCTTTGCGGTGGACTCACGGAATTCACTGCTTCCACCCCCGCCTTCATTCCTTTTCTCCTTCCTTCTTCCCTTCCTTCCTTCCTGCCCTCGGACCTCTGACCTCTCTGATTTCCCCATGCTGACCCCAGGCTGCTCCCCAGGTGTGTATTGGATGAACAAGTAAATAACTGGGAAATAAATGAATGGATAGTTTTTGATGGGCCTGAAGGCAGCATGCTTTTTTTGCCAATACTGGATTGAACCCAGGGCCTCTGCCCTGAGCTACATCCTCAGCCCCTTTTTATTTTATTTTGAGACGGCGTCTTGCTAAGTCACTAAGTTGCCCCAGGCTGGGCTTTAACGTGTGATGCTCCTGTCTCAGCCTCATGATTATAGACATATGCCACCATGCCTGACCTCAGTAATGCTTAAAATGGATGAATGAATGAATGAATGGGGGCCATTTCTCGCCAAGACTGTACTGTACCTTAAAGAGGCTTCCCAGACTCTGAAGGTCTCCACGAGGAAATGCGTGCAAATACCAAAGATAACTGCCGCTCTCCTTTGCCAGCCTTTACCCCCCACCTCTCCGTGAGCGGCCAGCCTCACTTCCCGCCAAAGAGCTTGCTGTGACACGCACAGATCTGCTCTGCGGGGCTGCCCAGTCCCGGCACCCCCAGCACTCCGGGGTGTGTTCTCCGCGCAGAGCAACCTGTGTCCCCAAACACCGCACAGCCGGGCGTGGCAGGAGCCTGGCATCCACCGGCTGCCGAGGTTCACAGTGTGCTGCCCCCACAGGTCCTGGCCGCCCGGCAACGAGAGCGCCACCTGCGCCGGGCGCAGCCACCGTCCAGAGCCCAGCTCAGGGCCACCAGGGAGAGGATGAGGAGAGAACGCCATGCACAGGCAGCCCTGAGGTGGGTGCCTGCGGGGTACAGTGGACACGGAGGAGCTGGCTGTCTGCCGCCGTGGGGGTGGGGGTTGGGGGGTCTCTTTCTGTCCCTCATCCTGCGCCCGGCATGTGCAATGCAGGGAAATGGAATGGGAACCAGAAACGCAGTTCTGGGCATGGGGATGCACACGGGTCATCCCAGCACTCCGGGAGGCTGAGGCAGGAGGGTCACAAGTTTGAGCCCAGCCTGGGCAACTCTGACTTCCCAAAAAAATAGTTGTTGGGGATGCAGCTCAGTGCGAGGGCCCTGGGCTCAATCCCCAGTACCGAAAAGAAAAGCAAACTTGGTTCTGCAACTGGCCCGTGATGGGAGCTACTGGCAGCTCCTCAGGCCCCGCGTCCTCCCTCAGGGCGCACTGAGGTCCGGCCACCTGTGCTCAGCACCAGACGGGTGTGCAGGAGACACTACGCCTCTGCCTGGAGCATCTGCGGGGGCCCGTGGCCAGGATTCTGAAATCACCGAATATTACGTGATGCACGCACGTCCTTGTGCTCAGCACTAAGTCTGTTGAATCCTTTATAGGCTTCTCCATGCAGGAATGACTGCAAATTAAATCACAAGACCTGAGAAACAGAGAGCCTATAGCAAACCCATGCACACAGACCGTGGGTCCGCAGACCCAGCAGCAGCCCCCAAGGGGCCTTCGTGAGCTGGAGCCAGAGCGTGTCTGTGACCCTGGATTCTAGGCTGCAGGGTCCTGACGTCGTTGGTCAAGGCTTTGGGAGTTCCTGCTACTGCTCCCCAGATGGCGCTGCTGGACACGAAGTAGAAGCCCTAAGCTGCTTCCTTAAGCCTCTGCCCACAGGCCAAAGCTCGGGCAGTTCCCTGTAGCTACACAGAGCGACCTGGAGCAAATCCTGGTCTGCAGGCAGAGTTGGGGCTGTATCCCGGTCTCGCCTGGTGGTGCAGGAGGAGTGGCTGGAGGCAGAGGCACGACTCGCTCCTGCTGCCAGATCTCCTTAAAACAACACTGCAACTGTCCCAGCAAACTGGAAACGCATCGAGAGCAGCTCCAGGAGGCCAGGAGACACATCGTCCCCTCCTCCGGAGCACGTGGTGGGCCCAGAGCCCATGGCTTTGAGTTACCACAGGACTGCGTAGAGCCACTGTCGGCGTGGGGCACCCCAGGAGCAGGGTGTCCGGAGTCCCGCAGGGCCACGGCAGGGAGCCTGAGGCAGCTGAGCCCCCTAAACCCCCAGGACGTGGCCCCACACTGGGGGCCACAGAGAAAGCAGACTCAGGAAGAGGTGACCAGCTCTGAGTGCACAGGAAAAGAGTCTGGGAAGCCCCCCAAAACAAGGAAACTGCCACAGGCAGCAAAGAACCCAGTAAAGTAGCAGACTGTGAAATTAAAATGCAAAAGCCCAAGTCCTCTGTGCGTGGAAATGCAAGTCAGATTAAAAGACTCAATATTCAGCAGCTACAAACAGTACAGAAAATACAGTAAGATGCTTAGGCGTCATCTTAAAGAGAAATGTGATTTTAAAATCAGAAAGAAGACAAGGATGTCCACTATCACCACTCCATTCAATATTGTTCTAGAAACATTAGCCAGAGCAATTACACAAGAGAGAGAAATATAAAAGGAATAAGGATAGGAAAGGAAGAAGTTAAATTATCAGTATTCACAAATGACATGATACGCTACATAGAAGACCCCAAAAACTCCACCAAAAGACTCCTAGAATTAATAACCAAACTCAGTAGCATAGCTGTATACAAAGTCAGTGCTCAAAAATCAATAGCATTCCTATACACGAACAACAAACAGACTGAGAGAGAAATTAGGGAACCCACACTTTTCACAATAGCATCCAAAAAAATGAAATACTTAGGAATCAACCTAACAAAGGAAGTAAAAGATCTATACAGTAAAAATTACAGTACTCTGAAAAAAGAGATCGAAGAGGATTTCAGAAAATGGGAAGCTATTACTTACTCATGGATGGGAAGAACCACCATTGTGAAAATGTCCATACTGCCAAAACTGCTATACAGATTTAATGCAATCCTGATCAAAGTACCACTAGCATACCTCACAAATCAAGAGAAAACATTCCTAAAATTCATCTCGAACCAGAAGAACAAAAGACAATAGCAAAGGCAATTCTGGGCAACAGAGACAAGGCAGGAGGCATCACAGTCCCTGACTTGAAATTATACTACAAAACTGCTGTAATAAAATCATCATAGTACTGACAAAAAAACAGACCTTCGGATCAGTGGAACAGATTAGAAGATGCAGACACAACTGCAAACACACTCAGCCATCTTATCTTTGACAAAGGGGCCAAACATGTTCACTGGAAGAAAAACAGCCTCTTTAATAAGTAATGTTGGGAAAATTGGCTTTCCAGTTGCTGAAGACTAAAACTAGACCCATGTCTATTACCATGCACCAAACTAAAGTCAAAATGGATCAAAGATCTACATATTAAAACAGAAACACTAAATCTACTGGAAGAGAAAGTAGGCAGAAATCTTGAAGACATAGGGGTAGGCAGAAAGTTCTTGAACAAAAACCAAACTGCATGCGAAATACTTCAAAGAATCAACAACTGGGATCTTATCTTATTGAAAAGATTTGCACATCAAAAGAAATCACTAAAAAGATCCATGCAGTAAAAAGAAAACCCATGAATTGGGAAAAAACTTTAGCCAGCTGTCCCTCAGACAAAGGACTTCTATCCAGAACATATAAAGAATTTAAAAAATCAGGACCCCAAAATTCAAAGACCCAATCCAAAAATAGGCATCTAAGATGAATACACACTTCTCAGATGAACAAATACAAATGGCAAATAAATGTATGAAAAAATGTTCAACATCAGTAGTCATTCAATAAATGCAAATTAAAACAAAACAGATTCCGTTTCACTCCAGAAAAAATGGCTATCATCAAGAAATCAATAACAAAAGCTGACAGGGCTGTAGGGAGAAAGAAACCCTTCTCCACTGTTGGTGGGAGTGTAGACTGGTGCAACCAATGTGGAAATCAGTGTGGAGAATTCTCAAGAAACTAAGATTAGCGGTCCCATTTGACCTGGCTATCCCTCTTCTGCGTATTTTTCCAGAAGAACTGAAAGCATCATACCACAGCGATATACGTCAGAGAACATGAGAATGCAGACTAAGCCCACGGAGTCAGAGGTCCAGTGGACTGGGGTCACGGGAGCCGCTCGGAAGCTGTAAAGGAGGCTGAGGCAGGAAGATTGCGAGTTTGAGTTCAGACTGTGCAATTTTTGGAAGAAAGATAAACTTGAGGCTTTTATAGGTAAATGGATGCAAGTGGAGACCATACTCAGAAGTGAAATAAATCAGACCTGCATGTGCAAACATCGTATTCTCTCCCTAGTGTGAGAAACTGAAAGAGTAAATAAAACCTGAAATGTACAATAGATATTGTGAAAGGGAAAGGAATTACTCAAAGGGAAAGAGCAACAGGGATGAGAGAAAGGAGAAAAGAAAGAAGGAAGGGAAAAAAATATATATACACACACACACACACACACATAAGATAGCTAAGATAATTGTACTGCTAATTTCTATTAGTTTATTGAAAGGAACATTTCATGCTTAACTTTTTTGATCAATTTTTCGTGCCTATATCTGATAATCTGAACAACTACTTTGAAGAGAACAATATGCAATATAACAACCGTTGTTGTTTCCTATCAACCTGTTTTGAAATTCTCTATCATTTTTAGTGTTTTTTTTATTTTTTACTCTCTTTAAAAAAAAAAAAGAGCAATGTGACGATGATCCTTGTTATTTTGGGCAAATTCTGTTTCCAGTAAAAACACATCAAATGGCTGCAGGAGGAAGCTGACGGAGAAATCCACAGCGCAGAGCACCAGTTTGCTCACACACAAATTGCAGAGCAGCCAAAGAGAAAAAGAGAAGTAGCCGGTGCAGTGAGGTTGAGAGAGCCGGAAGGCGGAAGTGGTCCCTGTAACTCACCATACTGGCGCTTACCAAGGAAGTCCGCACGATCATCTCGGAGACACACACAGAACAGCTGATGGAACTGGACGTTTATCCATGAAAAAAGGAAATTTTCAAACTCAGCAAACAAGGAACAGAGACCTGAGCTCCCTGACCTAATAATGGGCGTCTGTGAAAACCCCGCACAAACGTCACCTCTGAGATCAGGAGTAGAGCGAAGCTGTGGGCGCTCCTGCCAGACGTCATGACGGACAGCCCGGCCCGTGGGATTGGCGAGGAAAAGAAATACAGAGAATACAGATTTGAAGGGAGGAAATAAAATTATCATCTGGTGAGAGACGACGTGAATGTCTGCACAGTAAATTCCAAATACGAGAAAGGCTATCAAAAATATTAAGTGAATTTAGCACTCTTGCGGTTACAAGTCAGTATAAATTCTACTCCCTGTACCAGCAATAAGTAATTGAAATTTTAAAATACTGTTTACCATGGCACCAAAGAAATGAAGTACTTAGGTACGCTTCTAAACACGCAGAATCTGCATGCTGAGGCCTGGGAAGTGCTACGCAAAGATACGGAAACATCTGGAAGTGAAGCGGTGCCCATGTGCATCGGGTGGGAAACTTGGTGCTGTGCTGAGACTTTGCACTGTACCTGTAGATCCTCAGCAGTCACAACCAAGATCCTGCAGGCTCTTAAAAACAGCTATCAGGCACAGTATAGCTCAGCGGCACAGTGCCTGCCTGGCAAGCGCGAAGTCCTGAGTTCGATTCCTGGTACCAAAAAACCCCCAGCTAATAACAAACCAGTCTGAAAAAGTCTATGGAAGACAAAGGACCCAGGAAGCCAAGGAAATGCTGACAAAGAGCAAAGCTGAGAGCCGACGCCGTCAGCCCTCAGATGCCGTACAAAGCTGCGGAAACCGAGCTGCGTGCTGTCTGGGGCCGCAGGGACCGCCCAGATCAGTGGACAGGACAGAGAGCCCGGAAATAGACCCCCGCAACTATGTGCAAGTGGTTCTCCCGACACAGACAGTTCAGTGGGGAGAGAATGGTCTTTTTCAAAAACGGTGGGCGGTGGGAAGACAGGGTGTCAGTGTGCAAAGAGGAAAAGGCCGGGAAAATGAGCCTCTGTGCGCCTCGTGTGTCGTCCCAAGCTTCCTTCGTGGGGTGTAGAAGTTTGGTTCCTTTACAAATGTTCTCAGCACCCTGGAAGCTGCTGAGGCTGCCCTCTCCTCACAGGGACATTGCCCTACACGTCCTGGCGCTGCTCCTGCTCCTGTGGATGACACATGGCACCTTCTCCGCGGACGCACATTCTCTCAGCCGGGCTATCCGGAAGGAATTTGTGAGGTAGGAGACCTGGGGGCGCCTCTGGGACTGCAAACTGTCCCCCTAGTTCCTGGCCAAGATGACCCAAAGGGAAGCGGGGATCCAGGGCGTGGCCTGCCCTTGGTGACGTAGCCTGAGTCCTGTCTTCTAGCGCAGACAGGGTCAGCAGGGGACCCACCGACCCTCACATCCCCTCCTAGGTTGCATCACACCCAGCCATGAGGAGGCCTGGATGAGGGTCTTTGCCATGTCCCATGCATGAAATGTGGAAATGGTTGTCATGGTGACTCAGGGGCCCGCTATATCCCCTCTGTTCAGCCACGTGTAGTGATATACACCTGTTATCCCAGCACTCTGGGAAGCTGAGGCAGGAAGATTGCAAGTTTGAGTTCAGACTGTGCAATTTTTGGACTTAATGAGGCCCTGTCTCAACATAAACATGAAAATGAAATGTAAAAGGGGCTGGGGATGTAGCTTAGTGCAAAACCCACACATCTGCCATGTATTTCCTTTCTGCATCTCAGCATCTCTGAGATAATGATCCTTTCTTTTTGAAAGTCATTAATTTTGGGGGGGGGCGGTTGGTTTGGTTTTTGGTTTTTGGTTTTTTTGAGACAGGGTCTCACTGTGTAGTTCAGTTGGCCTTGACCTCACTATGTAGCCCAGGCTGGCCTCAAACTCACAGGGATCCTCCTGCCTCAGCCTCCTGAGTTCCGGGATTACAGACATGCAACACCACCCCCAACCAAAAGTCACTGTTAAATCCATGGTCAAACTTTATTTCACCTGCTGAAAACAGCCTGATGATTCCTTCAGGGCAGCTTGGCTTTGAATTCCGAAGTGCATGGTAGGAACTGATGTCAGTTATTCACTATGGTGTCAGTGACAAAAGGTGAAATAATTCCACATGTTTCAAGATTTTACTCTGTCTTCCTCCAGAGAATATTTTAGAGCACATTTCTGGAGCATTTCTGTGAATGTGCTGCCACTGACGCACTCACTCAGTTGGGTGTAAATATCGTTTTGTTGGTGTTTTCCTTGGGCGGGGCTGGGAGGCTGGAAAGCCCATTTAGTCTTATCCGTTATTGAAGAACAATTTTCTTTCCACCTTCTGCAAGAGAGGGTGGTTGGTCTGCATCGAGCAGCGGCTGGCAAAGGTCATCTCCCAGTAGACCTGTCAGTCTATGCCTCGCGCTTAAGCTGAGACCCAGAAGTCCCCGTTCAACCAGTCTGGGCTCTCCCAGCGCGAGAAGCCAGCTTTTGCTGCTGAGCTGCGAGGTGACTGGCGCCTCTGCATTCGCAAAAGCTGCAGTTACCTCCCTGGGGGCCACTTTCCCGCCCTCTCCCTCCGAGCTCCAGTCTCGGCAGCTGCACAGATTGTACCGGTAGGTGGCGCTGTGGGCAAAACAAAGAGACAATTGGGGCAT